ATCAGAACCAGAGACCAGAGGAGCCAGTTGGTGGAGATACATTCAGCTGATGGTGGAACATCTTTCTACATCTGATGAGCAGAGCAGAGAGGAGAAGTCTGGAGACATGGTGATAGTTCAACATCTGCAGGACGAGGAGACGTTGTTAGGTCCAGTTGAATTCAGTGATTTTAATGAAATATCACAAATTGAAGCTCAGATTTGGTTCATTTTCCCGACGGAACCACACATCACCCGATGCGTTCAAAGACCAACTGAAAGCTTTTCTTTCTGTTTTCAGAATTTCTGGCTGATGAATTGTCATTTTGGTGATTTAAAAAAAAAGAAACCTTTGGGGTTTGAAAGGCAGAATCAAGTTAAACCTCCTGTAGATGCTGTAAAAAATGTAAATCGTTAAATATCTGCAGTCTGTGTCTGTCGGTCTCAGGCTCTGAAGTACGAGTGTTACCTGGACAGTTCTCTGGTTCGGTTCCTCCTCCGTAGAGCCGTTGGAGATGTTCGTATCGCCCACTACCTGTTCTGGTGAGCTGCAGTCTTTCAGCGATACTCTGTCAGATGTCCAGCAGATGGGTTTTAAGTCCTGCTCCTGCATGTTGCTGCTTCCTCGGCCTCAGTTTGTGTGTCTGTGTGTGTCAGGCTGCTGAAGGACAACCTGCAGGACAGCCAGTTCAGCGCTCGCTATCAGCACCTGCTGGCCGCTCTGCTCTGCTGCGTCGGCCGAGGCCTTCGAGATGAGTTCGACCGGCAGTGCTGGCTCGTCTCCATCCTTGCTAAGGTGGCCCACAAGGTCCGAGACACGGCACCGTCCAGCCGACAGGTGAGCTGGTTCCAAAACCCTGAAAGACCCCCAGTGAAGATCCAGTTTCACCTGTTGACGTGTCCAGATTTCAGTCAGTGGTGGCTGAGTTCTGACACCTTCAAACTGAACCAATGCCTCAGTTTCAGTGATAAAAAAAAATACAAAGTCAGTTTCACTCTCTGAAGCACATGAACAAATATTTGCTGATTAATTCTCTGACAGTCAGTTGGTTGTCGACAGATTGTCTCTGTGTGTGGTTGTGTGTTCAGTGTGTCCTCAGAGAGGGTCTGGAGGAGATGAAGCAGTTCTTCTCAGTGAACAGCAGCTGTAGACTCCCTCTGAACCCGGCGCTGCTCGTCACAGGAATCAACATCCAGGTACAACACCCTCAGTCTGTTCATCAGTTCATCAACCAGAGATAATGTATCAATCAGATATAGATAACGTATCAACCAGAGATGGATAACGTATCAATCAGAGATAACGTATCAATCAGAGATAACGTATCAATCAGAGATAAGGTATCAATCAGAGATAGATAACGTATCAATCAGAGATAGATAGCGTATCAACCAAAGATGGATAACGTATCAACTAGAGATGGATAACGTATCAATCAGAGATAACGTATCAATCAGAGATAGATAACGTATCAATCAGAGNTAGAACCTGACACCAGATCAGTTCTACATCCATCCAGGTGTCTTAGTCTGAACACTGGACCTGGTTCTGTTCATGTCCGCTGCCAGCAGCTGGTAGCATCAGTATTATGGGATGTCTCATAGTGGTACCAGTTTAATGTCTATGACATATAGTCACAGAAACAATCATTGGTACCCTGGATGTGGTTCTGGTTCTGATCAGTCACCAGAGGAAACTTTACAAAGTGCATTCTGGGTAAACTTTCCAGCCTCATATCAGCATGTGTGATGGTGGTTGGTCAGAACCAGTTCTAGACGATGGAAGGACCGTTTTACTGATGTCTGTCTGTCTCAGGTGGACTTCCCCACCTCATCCTTCGAGGTCCGGTTCAGTACCCCGTCTCCAGCAGAATTCTGTCCTCAGTATGACTTCTGCAGACTCGACACCATCAGTCAGATCCAGCTGCAGGACGTTCTACACAAGAAGGCCTTCTTCTGGTCAGAGACACACGACTCACACACAGACACTGACCCTGGAACAGTACATTGCTGTCACTGCACAGAAACATGTTTTGGGATCTTCTGCTGATGGATCATCAGCTGGAGACTCTGAATGTGTGACCTGTAGAGTCGGCAGGTTTAATGTGTGTCTGCTGTGTGTGTGTGTGTGTGCAGGCTGACAGCCGAGGACCGCCGCCTGCTGTGGGAGAAGAAGGCCTTCTGTCAGGGTGAGAGCGCCGCGCTGCCTCTGGTTCTGGCCAGCGCCCCCTGCTGGCAGTGGGCCTGCCTGCCTGAGATCTACGCCCTGCTGAGGCAGTGGGCCTGTCTGGGTCACCTGGACGCCCTGGGCCTGCTGCACGCCTCGTACGTCCTCACCTGTCCTCCACAGTCACACACAGTTTTTGTGTATCTAGAGGTTCTGACCCAGCAGATGCTCCCGTCCTGTGTTCCAGGTTCCCGGATCAGGAGCTGAGGAGAACAGCGGTCCAGTGGATGGACTCCATCTCTGACCCGGAGCTGCTGGATGTTCTGCCTCAGCTGGTTCAGGTAACAGCGACTGGGTCAGCCTGAACCAGGAGACGCTAATGGTAGAAAAGTGCAGTTTTGGCCGTTGGAGAACTGAGAATGTGGTTTAAGGAGCTCGTTATCGTTAAAGTGTCAACAACAGGACTCCGTTTATCACCCTGTGGACACATGAAGAATCTTTAGATGCTCTACTGTCCAATGGTCCTCAAATGCAGCATCTGTTGTTCCATCAAACATGAACTAAATCTGAGCTTCAGCATCAGAATCTCTGAACTCGTCTCATTTAAACATTCTCCAGAACCTTCCTCCTCCTGGTTCTGACCCTGTAGAACCAGAACCTTCCTCCTCCTGGTTC